GGGGGGGGTCCCCCCCCCCCCACCTTGCACCTCCTTTTGGGGGTGGCAGTAAGCTGCTTACCTTCCTCCTCTCCCGGTGTCACCATCAGAGCCTCGTGTGCGGAGGGGAGCATACCTGTTGTGCAGGACCAGGGGAGAAGCAGCTCTGGCCCTGAGTTTCCTGAAGTGTGAGGTGACTGTCTTCCAGGTCACTCTGGGTGGGTCGTCTTGGTTAGCCATCACATTGGCCACCATCTCTGTCTCTTTCTCTTCTTCCTTCTTTTGGTGAAGGTTCTGGCAGTAGCCATCAATGAAGTCTTTGTGGGCCCTGATGGTATGTAGCTGATTTATTTCCTCCTTGAGCTCCTGCACCTGGCATTCCAGAGGCTCCACTAGGGAGCATACCCCACAAGTGGTGGTGTCTCCATGCTCAGTTGCCAGCAGCCATGCCAGGCAGCCCCTGCAGTTTAGGGCCATGGGCTCTATCTGGGTGAAAGTCTCAGCAATGCCAAGACACCTGCGGGTATGACAAGTCACTGCCATGGCTGAGAGTGATTGTGTGGTAATAGGCTATGCTACTACCCACGAACTGGCCTATGAACTGCCTGCATACTACTTCCCCTGTTTTCAGTCATGTTCGCTGACTTCCTGGTCACAGGCTCTGTGGTTGTCTGGGGGGTCTCCTTTTATACCCTTCTGGGCCTGGGCTGACTCAGCCCCTTTGTTTGGGCTTCTGTTGAGCCCAGGCAGCACTCACTCGGTAGTCAGCAGTCACTCCCAGCTTCTCCAAGCACACACACCAGACACACAGCCCACCAAACAAACACTGAGCAAAAACCAAAGGTACAGGCAGCCGGATCACTTACCTTTTCTGGGCTGAATCTGGTGCCTGGATTCTCTCTTGCTTCTTCCTCTTGCTTCCAGCAACTGCCTGCAAACTATTTCCCTTGTTTGCAGTCCTGTTCACTGGCTCCTTGGTCACAAGCTTCTTTCTTCCTCCCCCCCAACAAGAGCACATTTCAACAAGCTTAGGTCACTAGTAGGGTAACTGCTGCAGGCCCAGGGACCAAAGGCAAAAGGTGTGCACGAAGAGTGGTTGTTCAGTTTCATAGTTTGTAGGGTCAGAAGGGACCTGAGCA